AAGATTCGTATTAGAATAAGTTGATGATGGTAATAAATTCGATTCTATATTTGTTGATTGTTTTACTTTAGAAGAATACATATCAAGAATTTCATCAACAGTTAATGTTGATTTTTGTATTTGTTTTTTATCATCATCATTAATTTTTTTTGTTTCTATAATAATATTTTGTTTTTCTAATAATTGTTCAAATGAAGGTGAATAATATAATGATTCTTTATTTAATTGATGTTTTGTAGGAATTTTTGATTTATTATATTTTATAAATGTTGTTAAATTTTTATCATGTTTTTCTTCAATATCTTTATTTATTTGATGAGAAATTGTTTTATCATCAATAATTTGTATAGGTACAGTTGATATTGTTGCTTGTCTTAATTGACCAAATGTAATTGGTTGAGATTTATATTCAATATGTGAAGATGTTATTGGTAATGTTGAAGAATCATCATTAGATTTTTTTAATGTTTCAAACATATTTACAATATGTCGATGAAATAATTTTGAATGAACATGTGATGAATCGATTGATGGTATTTCATTTGATGTTGAATTATCTTGAGAAGATTTTATTGAAACAAGTTCATTTTCATCATTAATTATTGATGATGAAGCAAGTAATTCAGCCATTTTTGCATTAAATCGATTATCATTAATTCTTGAAGGAAAAACTATGTATTCAAAAGAAAAAATAAATATATATATATATATATGATAATTGAAATATTATCATTAAACCTGATCCAACTGGTGGAACATTTCTTGGAATAAATTTTCCTTGAATATTATTCTGAAAAGTAACTTGCTTTTTTTTTGGCATATCTATAAAAAACACATATATATATATAAAATGTGTCTTTTTATTTTTCTTTTTTTCTTCTTCTTATTTTATTCATTTTAGTTATTTCATAACGAATATATATGTTTAAAAAAAAATAAACAAACAAACAAGAACATTTATTTTTATTATGCTTTAATAGCATATGTACGTTGTGGAAATGCCCATTGTCGTCGTTGAATTTTTCTTAATTTTATAGATCTTTCTTTTGGTGTTAATAAACGTCGAATAGCACGTGTTTTACGTTGACGTAAATCTTTTGGTTTATATTTTTTTCCATGATATAATTTTCTTAAATTATCTTTTGTTGTTTGATTTCGAACAATAAGTACACGTGCAATTGATTTACGTACATTACGAATTTTACCTAATTTTTGTGCACCACCACTACCTGTTACTTTTCCAACACGTAATGTATTTAATTCTTGACGTAAATCATCTAATTGTTTTTGAAGTTCATCTTAACAAAAAAAAAAAAAAAAAAAAATTTTATTTTTATATTAAAAAAATAAAATTTACCTGGTTTTTTACCACGAAGTTGTGAACATTTAACTCGTGTCATTTTTTTTTTTTTTTTTGGTGAAGAAAATTTAATCTAAAATAAAAATCATTCGAAATGAAAACAAACTTGTTTTAACCAGAACAACAAAGAAAAAAAAAATTTTGTTTTTAGTATTTTACTGGACAAGTATATTTATCTGAATCATTATTAATAAAAAGAAAAAAATTATCAATCGATAGATGGTACTACAATATTAACTTCTTTCTGAATGGTTCATTTCTACGAAGAGGATAAAATAACATAAAAACAAATAATCAAACAAAAAAAAATTTCTAAAAATTAAGAGTTCGATAAAAATAGAAATAAAAAAATGCTGGTAAAGAATTTAAATTTATTCTTAAAATAGTGAATACATTTATAAATGAATAATCGAATCTATGATTTTTCATTTAATTAACAAATATATTCAATCAAATATTCATATACAAAAAAAAGAAAAGAACTTAACACCAAACTTCGTAAAAAGTATTATGAATTATCAACTCATATATTAAGAAAAAACAAGTTATTATTCAATATAACATCAAGATGAATATATAATATTGTTATTAATCCATGGTAACTAAGAGAATTTTTTAAAGCTAAGAACAATTTTGTTTTTCTATTAATTTCATCATTTACAATTATTAGATGATGAATGAATTTAATTTTAAAGTGTATAGAACATTATTTTTAAGTTAGAAATAAGATAAGTTCAAGGCAACTGTAGTAACTTCTAGTTGTTGATTGTTTTTTGACTTAAAAAACTTTTTGTTTTTATTTTTCTTTGAATTACAAAATAATTGAGAAGAATTCTAATAAAACTATCGGATTATAATAAATGAATCTTCAAAAAAAATTATTATCGACATATTTTTTTTTAAACGATGTTCTTATTGCTAAAATATATTTATGCATTACTTTTGAATTATTTAAATTTTAATTATATGATTTCTTTTTAGATATATTTATGTTTTCACGTTTATTTTATTCATCTATTTTTCCCTTTGCAATTGCTATTTTTGTTATCTTCTATCGTTCATCGTCATTAACAGCATTGAGTCAACATTTAAGTTGGCGTTCATCAAGTTCAACACATCAAGAATTAATTGGAAATTTATATAAAGATGGTATAATTCAAGATAAACGCATCATAGATGCAATGTTAAAAGTTGATCGAGCTGATTTTACAGATAAAAAATCCGATACTTACAGTGATCGACCTCAATATAGTAATTAAAAAAAATGATTCATTCATTTAATATTTTAAAACTATCTCTTCTTTTTTTGTTTTTATCTTATTTAGTCGGTTATTCTGTAAGTATATGTATGTTCAATACAAAACATAGTTGAGTTTTTTTTTGTATCATTTAAACTTCCAGGTGACAATCAGGTAAAGTTTTTCTATTGTATCGAAAATGTAGAATATTATTGTTATTATTAGTGCGCCACATATGCATGGCTTTGCATTACAAATTCTTAAAGATCATCTTCAACCTGGTATTTGTTATTGTATTGCTTTTTTGTTTGAATTTTTTTGATATTAATTTTTAAGGAGCAAAAGTTCTTGATATTGGTTCTGGTTCAGGATATTTAACAGCATGTATGGCATATTTAGTTCGTCCAAATGGTAAAGCTATTGGTATTGAACATATTCAAGAACTTGTTAATAAATCAATTAAAAATATTAAAAAACATAATAAAAAATTATTCGATGATGGTCTTTTAGAAATTCATAAAGGTGATGGTAGACGAGGTTATCCTATTCAAGCACCTTATGATGCAATTCATGTTGGTGCAGCAATATATGGTACACCATATGAACTTATTCGTCAATTAAAAGTTGGTGGACGACTTGTTGCACCTATTGGAAATTATTTTAATCAAGAAATGATAACATATGATAAAAAAGCAGATGGAACATATAATGAACAAAGACATATGAATGTTATGTATGTTCCATTAACAGATGAAAAATCTCAATATGCAAAAGCAGGAGGACGAAGACAAATCTAAATCAAAATGATATTAAATGATCAATCCCCCCCCCCTTTTTTTTTTAATCTTTTCCTTATAAAAACAAAATAATTTAATCTTGCATAATTTTTTTGTTTTTTGTATAATTGTAGATCAATATTCTATTGTTGACATGTTGTCAAAACGTCTTTTTTCATCATTAATTTCGACATCAACATGTCGTTGTATTCAAACAAGTGCTATACTTAGTTCAAGTCAACAACAGAATGCTCAAACAAATTATGATAAATCACTTTATGATTCAACACGAAAAAATTTATATATTAATAGTGAAACACGTGTAATTTGCCAAGGTTTTACTGGTAAACAAGGTACATTTCATTCACAACAAGCACTTGATTATGGAACAAAATTAGTTGGTGGTGTTACTCCAAAAAAAGCTGGTACGAAACATTTAGGTTTACCAGTATTTAAAACAGTTCATGAAGCTATGAAAGAAACTGGTGCAACAGCAACAGTTATTTATGTACCACCTCCAGGTGCTGCTGATGCTATTCTTGAAGCTATTGATGCTGGTATTGGTTTAATTGTATGTATTACAGAAGGTATTCCACAACATGATATGGTTAAAGTTAAATATCAACTTGTACGACAAAATAAATCTCGTCTTGTTGGACCAAATTGTCCAGGTGTCATTGGTAAGTGTAGTCAAGCTTTGTAACTGGTCCTATTGCAAGTATATAAGAAAATATAGGAGAGTGTACGATGAATTCATAATTTATTAAAACTTGTTTTAAAAAAAAAATACTGGTCGATTTCGAGATTTTAATTATCACGTTCCTTCTGTTTATATAAGTATTATTAAAAGAGATAATATATCATTCTAAGTACTCGAAACTCGTATAGGTTGAGTTATGAAGAGATCATTCTCTGTTAATATATAAACAAGTTTTCATTGAGGTCCAGAACTTATCGGATACTTCTTAATCTATCTCTGAGATTTTAAGATAAATTTCCTATGAGTGCAAGTTCAAGTAAAGTGATAGCTTCCGTTCGTTTGATTGACAGAAAGTTAGTAGCACGTATATGAAAATAAACATAAAATAGAAAGCTTAATGAAGAAAAAAAAAAGTTGATTATTGTTATTATGTGATACATCTAAGAGCTTTATAATCAACGTACATATATATATATATATAAACTATAATGATAGAGGATGATATCTTTTTCAATTGGCGTAAGTACTCGCTATTTTCAATTGTTGAATTTTTAATAAATCTCACTTAATACACGACAATGTATTAATATGATCGTTTGTGTTATGATACGTCTTTTAATCATTGTCAACGCTTTCGTCACGAAAATTATGGATGCATTGATCGTTTAATCATATGTGCTAGTGATGAAATGCATTAGTTGTCCTTTCATAACTGTAATATGAGATATGAGCAATTAATAGAACAATAGCATCTGCATTTTTCTCACTGTCTTCGACTCTCGCGAAAAATAACTAAGTCTGTGACATTCACTTTTACGGAGATAATGAGTCAACGAATGGAACCACTTGCTAGGACTCGAATAATGCTTTCATGACTTTCAAGTCTCGAAATATTAAACTTACATTTAGAAGAATATATTTTAACTTTCTAGTTTTAAGAAGATTGTAACGCAAAGTATTGACTTACAATGTAAACGTTCGAAAAGAGAAGCATTAGATTTGATAAAGATAATTATTAATACAATATTAAAACTCTTAATTATTTTTTTTTTCTGTATATATAGGAGCTATAGAACAAATATCTAAAACAGAGAGTATTATAGGACGATTACAAAGCCTGAGTTTAATATTATTTTTCGAATCATTTTGATTTATAATTTTAATATTTAGCTCCTGGTAAATGTAAAATTGGAATTATGCCTGGTCATATACATAAACCTGGTCCAATAGGTATTGTTTCACGTAGTGGTACATTAACATATGAAGCTGTACATCAAACAAGTCAAGTTGGTCTTGGTCAATCATTATGTGTTGGTATTGGTGGTGATCCATTTAATGGTACAGATTTTATTGATTGTCTTGATTTATTCTTACAAGATCCAGCAACAGCTGGTATTATACTTATTGGTGAAATTGGTGGTAATGCTGAAGAAGCTGCTGCTGAATATCTCAAACAAGTTAATGTTGGTTCAAAAGCAAAACCTGTTGTTGCTTTTATTGCCGGACAAACAGCTCCACCTGGTCGTCGTATGGGTCATGCAGGTGCCATTATAAGTGGTAAATCAGGCGGTGCTGAAAGTAAAATTCAAGCATTAAAAGATGCCAAAGTTGATGTTAGTGATTCTCCAGCTAAAATGGGTCAATTAATGTATAAGTTAATGAAAGGTGAAGATCATCCTCTTGGTCGAAAACAAGCACAGTGAGTGCGATAGCTCATATAAAGCTCGCACATTAGTTATTTTAGAAAAAAATTTTACATTCATTTTATGCGTTTCTTTTCCTTTTTCTTTTGTTCCTTATATATCTTTAGTGTTTTGTTTTTTGTTTGTCGGCGTTAAAGAATAGAGTTTTTTGACTTTATTATCAACACTTTATTTGCCAAGGATTTTTTTTTCTCCTGTCCCATAAAATGAATTGATTGACTTTGAAATTTATATATAGTACATATCATTTTTTTTTTGTACCAATATAATAGAAAACAACAGCAACAACAATAGTCAATAGAGTAGTACAAGAATATACATTTTTTCTTCTTCATCGTCAAATTTCTCTGGTCTTCAATATCATATATCGTGGCATTGTGAATGATGATGATGATGTTTAATAGAAGAAGTCTATTTGACATCGATTTGTTGTGATTTTACGTTCTTCATTTATTGTTTTAGAATCAGAAAGAAAAAAAAAAGACGCTTTTAGAAGTGAAAATAGAATCGATTTGAAAATATTCTTTGGCTTGTTAAAAAAGATTTGTTTGAAGGGAAGGCTTTTTGTATTCTTATGTCTCAAATAATTATTTAAATGAACTTGAAAAAATTCCTGTAATGGATTATGTTTGGTTCTTCTCAATATTCACTTTTTTTAGATTAATTTTTCATGGCTTCTAATCATTCACCATCAAATTCTACAGAAAATCTATCAGAATCATCATCATCATCAAAAATAAACGATGATTTTCTTAATGAACTTCTAATGTGTGGTATATGTCTTTCTCGTATGTCATCTCCATGTTGTCTTCCATGTGCACATTCATTTTGTCGTTCTTGTTTACTTGATTATGTTCAAAATAATAATAATAATAATATAAATACAACAACATCAATTCATTTTATTCTTTGTCCATATTGTAAATATCAATTTAATTTTCATTCATATGAACATTTTGAATCAATATTAATTATTAATCCTATACTTAAACAACTTTGTGAAGCATTAGATACATCAAAATTCAATTCTAATCAACAACAACAACAAACTCAATCAAATGGAATATATCGTGCACGTTGTCATACATGTTGTTTACTTAAAATGTTAAAAATATGTAAACATTGTCATTTTATGCTTTGTGAAATATGTCGACGTACACATTTATTAGATGTTCATCGTGAAAGTAAATTACAATTAGATTTACTTGAAACACGTATTAATTTAATAAATAAAAAACGTTTGGAAATGAATCAAAAATCACAAGAATATAATTATATACGACAACGTATAGAAAATTATGTTCAAGATTTTATAAATGAAATTAAAAAACAACGTGATCAAGCTTTACAAATAATAAATGAACAACAACATTCAAATGATGAAAATTTTTGGAAAGGAAATGGTTTTGAGAATGCAGAAAAATTAGATTTTTTTAATTCACTTGTTCAAATAGGTCAAAAAAAATTATTAGCAAAACATATTACTGATAAAGATCTTATAGAATTATCAGATAATTTACAAACAATACCTAATATAAATGAAAAATTAATTGAATTCATACAATTTACACAATTAACATTAGAAGTTGATGAAACATTTTCAACAAAACAATTTATTCGTGTATATGATTATCAAGAAAATAAAAAATCAACTAATCAAAATGAACAAACAGATTGTATTAGTTCATAAATTTCGATTGCTTTTTCTTTTTTTTTTTTTTTGTTTAATGTTTTCATTCGATTATTTTCCTTTGAAGACTCTGACAGTTATAGATTAAATAATAAAAATAAACATAATTATAATAGTAAACTATTTTTTGTTTTCAATTAAATATTTTAATGATAAGTTTACATAAGATTTTATCCAACTTATATTCATAAGACTACTTATATTTTTGTGATTATGAAATTATCAGATACATATACATGATGAACTAAAAGTATTTGGTTCATTTTTAGGAAAATATCATCAAAAAAATATATTATTCATTTTTGATCTAAATATTACAGAGCGAATGAA